TTGCATTTCCAAAGCAAGCACTATAACAGAATTGACTTTGCAAGAAAATTCTGACCCCGAAGAAAAAGAATCATAGTCATCTTTTATCCAAATAAAGTAGACAGAAATTATGGGTCACCACAGCAGTGATAGTGAGGATTTCTGATATTTTCATGCTATACTTCATTTAAAAGGCAGAAATCACTCAGTTGATACTAGCCATTATTTAGAGAACTAAAAGGTGAAGATACTCATGTTACATTAGGTGAGGAGTAAACCAGAATGTAAAAGTGTACATCCATTATGCTCATGGTTATACATACAAAAAGCCTAAAAAAACAAACTGGAAGTAAAAAGTAAAAGCAATGTTAACAGTGCTTGACTTAGATTTTGGTAAGGTTTTCTAATCCTAACTTTCTCTATTTCTTAAATCTTCTAGTGGGTATGCATTACTTTTTAAATGGAGAAAACAATGTTTAAGTTGTATAATGTTTCTATCTTGATCATATGCAGTAGTTGCAAAAAGTATTAAGGAAAGAAAAGTCCTGACGAAGTTACATGAATTATAAAACTATAATAATACTGTGAAACACTGCAGATATGAAATAGGGCTTAACATCAAAATTTTGGCTAAGATAAGGTTAATATTTTCTGACATTCATATCTTGATGTGTCTATGCTCTTTATAAAAACAAAAACTAGTAATATTTCCTTTCTGCTCAGATGGAATGTGGTAAAATAGTTCACTGAAGTAAACAAAGCCTTTTTCCTCATCTGTGAAAGACATGCCTGCCCTGGCTGTCACCTGATGAGGCTAACTATTAGGTAATGTATGTGAAAGTGCTTTAAAAACTACTAAACCTATTAAGGTTACTTGGAGGGGAGGGGGTAGGGAGAGAAGTGCTGAGAAGCACTTATTACTTTGCATAAATGTTGCTTAATAAAATAATACTGAATTAAGCATATTTGTGAAAACAAGAGCCAGTTAATAAATAACCGAATGGTAAAACACTGTTTGTCTTGTTTCCCCTGTTGTTTGTTTTATTTAGAGTTGGGATCTCACTGTCTCCCAAGCTGGAGTGAGGTGGCACCAATCATGGAAGATTCGGGGGCTCAAGTGAGCTTCCCATCTCACACCTCAGCCTCCACTGCAGCTAGGACTACAAGTGCTTACTACAAGCACCCAACTAATTTTTTTCTTTTTCTTTCTCTACTTTTTTAAGAGATGTTGTCTTGCTATGTTGCCCAAGCTGGTCTCAAATTTCTGGCCCTCAAGTAATCCTCCACCTTAGCCTTCTGAGTTGCTGGGATTACAGGCATGAGCCACTACACTAACTTCACCTGTTATTTATGAATAGTAAGTTGCATACCCTGGCTAATCCTGCCCTTTATAAGTCCTTAAGACTGTCTTGCCTTCTCTTCTCTTTTTTAAAAGTTTTTAACCAATGTACTATAAATTTACTTTCCAAATAAAAATTTTGTTAAGAAAATTACACATTGAGGCTAGGCACAGTGGCTCATGCCTCTAATCTGAGTACTCTGGGAGGCAGAGTTGGGAGGATCACTTGAGTTTGAGATCACCCTGGGAAACACGGAGAGATCCTGTCTCTACCAAAAAATAAAAAAAAAAAAAAAAAAGAAAACAAAAAGAAAATTACACATTGAAAAAAAAAAACCCCACAAATTCATAACACCAATCCATCTTTACTAAATCTTGAGTTTCAGAAATTACATAACCCTCACCTCCAAATAGTTCCCTACAGTTAAACACATTTTTATAAGGAAAACCGGGAATATGTAAGACACATTCTACATAAGTCAATTCAAGTTTAAAAAACAGCATAATTAGACTGAGCATGTAACAGACTCAAGGCTAAAAGTGCACATTCTTATTTGTGAGAAAAATTAAGTATTTTAATTCATAACTTATAAGAGCATACACTCAAATGAATCTTCTGGGTGTCTGAACCTTCTAATGACTTTAAGAGTTATTTCTAGTTACATAAAATTTATATATATATTTATATATAAATCTTATATCTATATGTAAATCTTATATATTATATATTTATATTTATATAAATATACAATATATAATTTACATATTATATATAATTTCTCATGTTATTTGGTTTACTGAAAATATTTTCTATTTTCAGTTATATATATAAAAACTAAGCTACTAGGTTTACTGGAAATATTTTCTTACATGAGATGCCAAATTTCTTTTACTCTATTCTCCCTTTTCTTCATTCCCATTAGTCAGCAGACACCTTCACTAAGAAACAAACATCTATTCTCCAGTCATTGCTATAACTTGCTGACAGATTAATGAAAATAACAAACTGTTGATATAAAATGTAACACACTTCTACTAGATAAGAGATAATTTCATATATAGACTCTAGGTTTTGTGGCTTTTTAAGTTTTTGTGTGTGTGTTTTTTTTCTTTTTAGATGGCATTGAAATGGGAGCTCCAAACCAATAAAAAATGATGGGAAGTTTTAAGATATTTATAACAGTATTAAACAGGGGCAAATCTTTGAAAACTGAAAAGTAACAAACCACATGCTCTAGGCTATGAGAATACAAGTATGAAAAAAACAAACACATGGACATGTCACAAGTAATGGTCTCAAAAGTTTCACAAAAGTTTATACAAGAATAAGTTTGCCTTCTGATTTAACACAATGACATGTAAATAAAGCTTTTGATAGGATTTATAAAATTATTTCCCTCTTGATTCGAATTAAAGAACACAAATTTGAAAAGTGTCATTCGTAATTTAAGACTATGGTTTGATAAGAACTAAATGTGTAAGATCAATACAACAAACTTGTTAAGTTGCCACAGTTTATCTTTAGTCTCCAACTAAAAACTAATGCTTAAAAATTTTTGGTTTCAGAATGTGGTATGGGAACAGACCACATCAAGGCTATTTCATAATTATTTCTGGAAAAAGAAAAAGGATTTTTTTCCAGTTTAAGCTATTAATGGTAAACAAAAGGGCCGGGGTGCGGTGGCTTACGCCTGTAATCCCAGCACTTTGGGAGGCCGAGGCGGGCAGATCACAAGGTCAGGAGATAGAGACCATCCTGGCTAACACGGTGAAATCCCTTCTCTACTAAAAATACAAAAAAAGGCGTGGTGGCGGGCACCTGTAGTCCCAGCTACTCAGAAGGCTGAGGCAGGAGAATGGCGTGAACCCAGGAGGCAGAGCTTGCAGTGAGCCAAGATTGTGCCACTGCACTCCAGCCTGGGCAACAGAGCAAGACTCCGTCTCAAAAAAAAAAAAAAAAGGGCAAGCAAAAACAGGTTTTATTATACCTACATCAAAATTACCCAGAAATGAAAATAAAAGCAGTAACAGTAGTAAACGTACTGATTGTTTTCCCATGTGCCAGAAACTATTTCAGACTTACTTACTCTTGCTGATTATCTTGACCTTCTCATCTCTTTCTGTTGCTAATAAATACTGTAGCCCATGACAAAAATTAAATTTTATTTTTATATAACAGTGTAAAAATAGAGTATTGGTTAACGAATGTTTTATTTATAGCCTAATTATTTTAAACTCCAACATACAAATAGATGAAAATAAGGGTTTTACATGTATAAATCTAGGCAGGTGGTCTTACATAGTTAATAAAAATATGGGCTCTAGAGTCAGGTTGCCAGAATTCAAATCGATTTTACTGTTGACTAGGTTTTTAACCCCAGAAAAATTATTCTACTTATTTAACCTCACGTCTCTCATCTATAAAATGGAAATAAATATTATTCCTGCCTTATAAGATAATCATGAGAATTGAAAGAACTCTATGTAAAGCACTTTGGACATACTAAGTACTCAATAAGATTTATCATTCTAGGATTATTAGCACAAGTATGACCACATGCTTCTGCAACATTTATGGACTCAACAGGGAAGAAGGAAGTGAATATCCTAGACACCTCTACTTGTACCCAATTCTGATTTTCTTCCTATACATAAACATGCATGCACAAACACATTCTCTGGTAGAAGTGTTACTCATTGTGTACAGGTGGTGCAATGAGATCTGTGTCCTCCCAAAATTCGTATGTTGAAGCCATAACCTTCAATGAGATGGAGCCCTTGGGACATAATTGGGTTTAAATGAGGTCACGAGGATGAGACCCTCATGATGGGATTAGTTCCTTTATTAAGAAGGGACCTCAGAAAGCTTACTTTCACTCTTCCTCCCTCTTCCTCCCTTTCTCTTTCTCTCTGCCGTGTGAGGACACAGTGAGAAAGTGGCTACCTATAAGGCAGGAAGAGAATCCTCACCAGAACCTGACAATGGTGGACATGCAGCCGCCAGAAATATGAGAAAATAAATTTCTGTTGTTTAAAGCCATCAGTCTATGGTATTTTGTTATGGCACTCCAAGCTAACTAATACAGATGGGTCTACTTGTATTTTCAATGTTTAAATACATGAGAAATAGCAATTCAAGGCATTTATTTTGCAAAGTTCATCAACATTTATTTTTCAAAGACTGCGGCATGTCAGAGTAAGCCATGGTCAGGCAGACATTATACTCCTGCTTACAATGTAATTTATTTTTAAGAGCACAATAGTAAGTAAGGTTCGTTACTTTTCTTTTTTTTTTTTTTTTTTTTTTTTTTGAGACGGAGTCTCGCTCTGTCGCCCAGGCTGGAGTGCAGTGGCGCAATCTCGGCTCACTGCAAGCTCCGCCTCCCGGGTTCACGCCATTCTCCTGCCTCAGCCTCCCGAGTAGCTGGGACTACAGGCGCCCGCCACTGCGCCCGGCTAATTTTTTCTATTTTTAGAAGAGACGAGGTTTCACCATGGTCTCGATCTCCTGACCTTGTGATCCGCCCGCCTCGGCCTCCCAAAGTGCTGGGATTACAGGCGTGAGCCACCGCGCCTGGCCTCGTTACTTTTCAAAAAGCTACTTTAAACAGTTCTAGTTAAGTCAATGTCGACAGATAGTACATTCATGCCTACAATATGTTTAAGTCATAAGGATTCTTACCTTTTATATCTGCCTGAAACTGTTCTAGGTGGCTCCTGTAAAGTAAAAATAATTACGTATCAGTTTGAGTATGTATGTACACAATTACTGATTATATAAAATAGTTGATAGAGAATATCTAAATTTTTTTTTGAGACGGAGTCTTGCTCTGTCGCCCAGGCTAGAGGGCAGTGGCGCGATCCCGGCTCACTGCAAGCTCCGCCTCCCAGGTTCATGCCATTCTCCTGCCTCAGCCTCCCGAGTACCTAGGACTACAGGCGCCCGCCACCACGCCAGGCTAATTTTTTGTATTTTTTTAATAGAGACGGGGTTTCACCGTGTTTGCCAGGATGGTCTCGATCTCCTGACCTCGTGATCCACCTGCCTCGGCCTCCCAAAGCGCTGAGATTACAGGTGTGAGCCACCGCGCCCAGCCGAGAATATCTAATTTTTAAAAGACCAACTTGAAGCAATTACTGGTTTAAAAAATTCACATATTGCTGCTCAAACAAAACAGAAGTCTACATCTGATTTTTCAGTCCAAATCAATCACTTTTTTTAAATGATGTTTTTAATAAAGAAGTATTTTTAAAGCTCAGAAAATGGACAAGGCTGGGGACATCATTCATCACCCAGTCAGCTTAAATCCCTTTGAAAGTCAAGGGGCATTAAAAAGTACCACTATTATATTCTTTTTTTTTTTTGAGACGGAGTTTCGCTCTTGTTGCCCAGGCTGGAGTGCAATGGTGCGATCTTGGCTCACTGCAACCTCCGCCTTCCAGGTTCAAGCGATTCTCCTGCCTCAGTCTCCTGAGTAGCTGGGATTACAGGCATATGCCACCATGTCCAGCTAATTTTGTATTTTTAATAGAGACGGGGTTTCTCCATGTTGGTCAGGTTGGTCTCAAACTCCTGACCTCAGGTGATCCACCCACCTCGGCCTCCCAAAGTGCTGGGATTACAAGTGTGAGCCACCATGCCCAGCCTTACAGTCTTTATATATCTCCCTTTGTCTTTTTTATGCCATCATTTTTCCTAAAACTTACAACTCACCATATGCATATAGTAATCAGTTCCTATTTTTAAAGACTATATATACAGCTAAAAATGGAAAGTGAAAAAGTACATTTTAATATTGTGCTGATTCTAAGCTACTAAAAAAAAGATTGTTGAAAGTTAACATTAACCATTGGGGTAGAAAAATTGTTACCTTGCAAATAACTAGGCAGTCATATCTCTGTTCAATCTTTTGACAGTCTAGGTTCTCCAAATACTTCTGCAGTTTCACTTTAATAAAACAGGTCAAAATCAAATGATGTCTTTAAAAATTGTTAACTTTTTTCCTAATTAATCATTAAGTTGCCAAGAGAAATCCTACAATTAAAGAAGTTCTCATCCAGTTAAAGCAAAAGAATACCTTTATAAGATAACCAGTTCCAGAGTAAAAGAGTAAATACTGACTGCATGATGCAATAAAAGACTAGCAATGTGGGGAACCAGTACAGCAAACCATATGATTAAGAGGAAGGATCAGATCAAATTTCCAAGCAGACAGGCTACTCAGCAGCTAGGAGACTATGGGTTTAACCTCTATCAGTGTCTACTTATCTCTAAAATGGAATAACAGTGCCTATTTTATTGGGTTATTGTGGAGATAAAATGACATAAGTGAGTAAAATTAGCACAGTCCCTTCCAAATAGGCTTTCAATTTCAATTTGATAGCTAAAACCAATATAAAACTAACTGGGATAAGGAAAAATCTTAATTGAATTTTCTGCATGGAATTTGAGTAAGTCTGTCTTAATTATTCCAAGTCAATAAATTCCCATTACAGAAGCCTATATTACTTAGTTTAATATAATTTTTGTCCCAATTTTTCATGTATATATCTTATATTCTAAGTAAAATGTAAGTGTCTGGCAGATAGGGACCCTCCACCAGCAATACCTTTCTTTCTCCCCCAAAACCCCAGTTCGCCTAGTATGCAATAAATATATACTGACAACTTAGGGAAATAACTTCCTTGGTAATCTACAGTTACAAAAAAGTACCACTTGGGAAATAATCAGCAGCAGGAAATAACCAGGTGACAAGATACTCGAGTGACTACGTATGTGGGTTTGACCCCACAAACAGGCTTAGTGCTGGGGAAGTCATGCCTTGACAGTTGATACAAAGACACTTTAACCATCCCTGAGCATCAGTTGTTCTTACAGCAGGACAACAACAAAACCTGGCAAGCAGACTTTAAAGAGTTTCTTATCTGCCTGTCATTAAGCAGATACCCACTAATCTGTACTTTTGATTAAGTAGATACCCACTAATCTGTAATTTTGTACCAAACATGTAAAACAGATCCCCTATTTATTTAGATGGCTATTTAAATAAAGTAGAAAGAAATATTAAGCTTATGTATACTTACTCAAAGTATACCTTATTAAATGTGAATGATAATGATTCATACAGTAGTTTTTCCAGCTGGGCGCAGTGGCTCATATCTGTAATCCTAGCACTTTGGGAGGCCGAGGGGAGTGGATCACTTGAACCCAGAAGGTCAAAACCAGCCTAGGCAACATGGCGAAACTCTGTCTCTACATAAAATACAAAAATTAGCTGGGTGAAGTGGCATGCACCTGTAGCCCCAGCTACTCGGGAGGCTGAAGTGGGTGGACTGCTTGAACTCAGGAGGCACAGGTGGCAGTGAGCTGAGATCACACTACTATATTCCAGCCTGTGGAACAGAGCAAGACCACGTCTCAAAAAAAAGGTTTCTCCCCTGCTAGTTTCACAAACAGTATTTGGATTAACATTTTACAAACAGCTTTTTATTAAATTCCCTGATATTACCCTACATGAACTAAACTAAGGCATATGATGTCTGTCTACACATACATGAGAAAAAATGCCAGAATCTCCAAAATAAAGTTCTGAAACAACACATATCATTTCTCTCACATCTCTCTCATTTGGGTTATATTTGAAATATCTCAGAACATGCCACATCAGCTTGATTGCCCAGACTGCCTGTTACTGAAATGGAGTCAGCAAAATTGCTAAATGAGAACAACCCTTACTAGATTTATTGATGTGTGGGTTACTGGTATATCAACTGAAATGGTACGAATAACTTGACAACAAACACTAATTTTTTTTTTTTTTTGAGATGGAGTCTCGCTCAGTCGCCTAGGCTGGAGTGCAGTGGCGTGATCTCGGCTCACTGCAAGTTCCACCTTCTGAGTTCATGCCATTCTCCTGCCTCAGCCTCCTAAGTAGCTGGGACTACAGGCGCCCGCCACCATGCCTGGCTAATTTTTTGTATTTTTAGTAGATACGGCGTTTCACCATTCACAGGATGGTCTCAATCTCCTGACCTTGTGATCCGCCCACCTCAGCCTCCCAAAGTGCTGGGATTACAGGTGTGAGCCACCACGCCCGGGCCAACAAACACTATTTCTGAGGCTTGAAATAGACATTTTCTGTAATATGGTAAAACTTAGAGTAACAGATATGTAGAGTAGAATTTTAACAAAAACAGAAATGTAAAATGGAGGGCATTTTCAGCAACCCTAAATTGCAGTGGCATTATAATAATTTCACACTTTGATCCAATTATAAATGACTTAAAAGTCAGTATCAGACAAGTTTTGACTTAAGTATGCTAACCAGAAGTCATGTAAAAATATCAGATTTCTACATGTATCTACAGTTGTTCGGGTTTTTTTTTTTAAAAAAAAACACTCAGTCACTTAAAACATACCTCAGTAAGTTTTACACAGTATTTTCCACACTGCTAGCTTGATGCAGTTGATAAAATTAGAACTTCCACATACTAGGTTGGTGCAAAAGTAACTGCGGTTTTGTCATTACAGTCATTCCATACTCAAGTCTGAGATATACAAATAATCAAAATTTAAGCTATACTTATTTCTAGTATATGGCTAGTATTTCAATAGTTAAGATTTTGAAGCACACAGACGACACTTAAGTTTATTCCTTATTGGTGGATTTGAATATGGTCTTTTATTAGAGATTATACATTTTGAAGCTAAATGTTATTTTATAATGATTCTTGTAATCAAAGTATAAACTTTAGGCAGGGCGCAGTGGCTCAAGCCTATAATCCCAGCAACTTTGGGAGGCCAATGCAGGCAGATCACCTAAGGTCTGGAATTGAAAACCAGCCTGGCCAACATGGTGAAACCCTGTCTCTACTAAAAATACAACAATTAGCCAGGCGTGGAGGCAAGTGCCTGTAATCACAGCTACTTGGGAGGCTGAGACAGGAGAATCACTTGAACCAAGGAGGCAGAGGTTGCAGTGAGCCGAGATCGTGCCACTGCACTCCAGACTCCATCTCAAAAAACAACAACAAAAAAAACTTTTAAAAGTAAAATGTTTCCCACACTGGATAGATTATATCAGTATGATTAGAGACTGGGAGGGGCTGTAGCCTTCTCATGCATGTTAAAAATGGGCAATTAAAGGTGGAGTTTAAAGTGATTTCTATATCCTGGCCACAAAAAGAAAACTGGGCATATCTTAAATTAGAAATGTTAGAGAGAGAAAAAAAATTAACCTATATAGTGCAGTGAAAGAATCCCTTATAATTTTTTAGCTTTATTTTTAATTGACAAATAATAATTATATATATGTATAAGGTTCAACGTGATATTTTTATTTCAATACATGTATATATTATGGAAGGATCAAATTACAGTAATTAGCATGTCCGTCTGATGTATTTTCGACGTCCCCTCCAAATCTCATGTTGAAATATAATCTCCAATGTTGGAGGTGGGGCCTGTTGGGAGGTGACTGGATCATGGGACTGGATTTCTCATGAATGGTTTAGCACCAATAAGATCTGGTTAAGAGTATGGGACCTGCCCCCTCTCTCTCTTGCTCCTGCTCCTATCATGTGATGTGCCTGCTTCCACTTTGCCTTCAGCCATGAGTAGCTCCCTGAGGGCCTCATGAGAAGCTGAGAAGATGCTGGTGCCATGCTTGTACAGCCTGTAGAACCTGTGAGGCAATTAAACCTCTTTTTCTTATAAATTACCCAATCTCAGGCATCTCTTTATAGCAATGCAAAGAACGGCCTATACAGATGACTTCAAATACTCATCACTTCTTTTTTTTTTTTTCTTTTTTTGAAACACAGTCTCGCTCTGTCACCCAGGCTAGAGTGCAGTGGTGTGATCTCAGCTCACTGCAACCTCCGCCTCCAAGGTTCAAGTAATTCTTGTGCCTCAGCCTCTTGAGTAGCTGGGATTACAGGTGAACACCACCATGCTCAGCTAATTGTTGTATTTTTAGTAGAGACGGGGTTTTGCCATGTTGGCCAGGCTGGTCTTGAACTTCTGGCATCAAGTGATCCACCCACTTCGGCCTCCCAGAGTGCTGGGATTACAGGCATGAGCCATTGCACCAGGCTCTTATCACTTCTTTCTGGTGAGAACATTTAAAATACTCAGCTATTTTGAAATATACATTATTATGAACTATAATCACCTTGCTGTGCAATAAAACAAATTATTCCTCCTATCTAACTGTAACTTTGCACCCACTGGCCAATGTTTCTCCTTTCTCCATCTACCTTAGCCTCTGGTAATCACCATTCTACTCTCTACTTCTATGAGTTTGACTGTTTTGGATTCCACATATAAGTGAGATCACTGCAACAAAATGGATGAAGGCAGCGGACATTATGTTCACTGAAGTCCCTAATAATTTTAAAGAGGAAAATGCTTAACATTCTTACATGTTAGAACAAAATTCCACACAAATATAAATGTTACCTTAGACGTCTTAACTATATTTCTGTAGCCACAAAAATTTCTAGGCAAAGAAACAACTATATAATTTTTGGTACTTTAATAATTACTACTCCATACTAAATAGGGACAAAAAATGAAGAAATACAGTAGTCCTTTTCCCTTTATCCAAGTTTTCACTTTCTACAGTTTCAGTTACCCATGGTCAACCCATGGGCATTAATAAAATTAAATTTTTAATATTGTGTTATTTAATAATTTTAATAAATTTAAATTATTATTTAAATTATAACTTAATTAAAATATTAAATGCAAAACTCAAAAAATAAAAAATTCATAAACTTTAAATTGTGAGTTGTCCTGACTAGCATGATGAAACTTGGTGCTGTCTTGCTCCATCTTGCCCAGGGCCTAATCGCTTTGTAAAACGTATCCACAGTGTCTATGCTCCCTACCTATTAGTCATTTGGGAGCCACCCTGGTTATCAGACTAACTGTTGTGGTATCCCAGTGACTGTGTTCAATTAACTTTTATTTAGTAATTGTCCCAAAGTACAAGAGTAGTGATGCTAGCAATTCTGATATGCCAAAGAGAGGCTATAAAGTGCTTCCCTTAAATGAAAAGGTAAAAATTCTCAACTTAACAATGAAAGAAAGAAAAATCATACCCTGAAGTTGCTAAGATTTATAAGAACAAATCTTCTATCCATGAAATATAAGGAAGGAAAAACAAATCTGTGGATAGTATAAATAGCGTTCAGTACTATCTATATTTCAGGCATCCATTGGAGGTCTTGGAACAGAACTCCCTTTGATAAGGGGTGACTGCTATACTAGTATCACTGAAACTGCTTGTAAAAAGTACAACTGTTAAGACTGGTACTGGTCTTAAAAGTTTCAAAGACTATGTAATTAGATCTCCCAAAAATCCTTAAGTCTGTTATACAACTGATCTCAAATATACTTGTTCTGAAATAATCTTCCTTGTAATGGGATGGTTTCTATTACTAAAGGGAAGGGGAAAGATCTACGTAGAACTGAGAAAATGTTGGCAAAGCACAAACTATTTTGTGTAAATTTAAATAAAACACTCTGTTTATTCAAGCTTATAATGATCAATAAGGAAATCCCCATGAACAGAGTCTGCAGTGGCAGATCAGAACTTCCAACGTATAAACAAGTATAAAAGCATAGGTGAAATAAGATCAGACAAATATGAGCCCAGATGAATACAGCAAAGTAATACTGATGTTATTCAAATAATCCAGCGACAAAGCCACAGCCCTCAGTAAAATTATGGCATAACATGCTAACTGACCCTCAGGACTAACTTAAAATATCTATATTGGCATGCATAATTTAGTATGATATACTGCTGAAGATGACTGCAGAATAAAATTTCTCTAATGTATAACTGATAAAATGAAAAATAAGAGCTTTATCAAATTAATGAAGATTTTAAAAGGAAAAACTCATCCTTCCCCTTCCTTTCCTGAACAATTAAGTCCTAAAGCCATTAGGCAGGGCAGAGCAACGTGAGGAAACACAATGACTCAGATCAGGGTATCAGAATACGAGAATCTGCCATAAAGAAGAGCTGCCTAGCATAGAGAATTCAAGTCCGAGCAAACTAAGGAGACTGCCACATAGCAGAGCTCACTCACTCTGACCTAAGATATCAGAGCCTGAGCAGAATGAGAAAGATTTCTACAAAGCAGGGAAGGGAAGCCCTCATTCGTGAGGCAAGGTCAGAAAGGGAGTCTCATAAAGGGGTAGCCAGAGTCTCAGGTGGAATGTGAAGTTTACCTTCTCAGGAGGGTGGTTCAGAAAAGGGTGATAAGAGCTCTAGCACAGTAAAAAATATCTACCATCTCAGAGGCAGCCTGGCATGGGGTATTCTGTGCCAGAGCCCAGGCAAGATGAAGTGAATGTCCACATGGAGTGGCAGTCTGGCCTGGAGTTGCCAAAACCTAATCAAGTTGAGGAAGAGTCCCCATGGAGGAGCAATCCGACATGAGTTCTCCGAGTCTCAGCAGGAGTAAAGAGAGGCCCTACAGAACAGCCTGTCAAAGGATGCCCAAGCCGGAAAAGGGTGAAGAGAGTGTTCATGCTTAAGGTGAGCCCAACATGAGATGTCAGAACCCGCTTGTGATAAGGAAGGCATAAGTAGGAGGAAAGAAAGCAATGGGAGATATGTTACTACATACAACTCAACAGGCATATTTGAAAAATTGCCATTAAAATATATAGTGACTTCCTGGTATTTTTAAATACTCACCTGTAGCAGATAGGAACTGCCTGGATCTAGTAAGTTTACAGCTTCATTCTGCATAGTGTTCTGTTGTGTAATTGCATCTTCTCGTTTTCGCTCTTTCTGCCCTGCTTCATCATCTTCGTACTCATCTAAGCACTGAAAGAAAAAAAGTTTCCATTTTATTTCTACTATTAATAGACTGTTTTGATAGTACGTGAAAATACATTTTGATAGCATTAAAGAAATATTTGTGCATTCAGAAATTAGTTTGCACAATAAAAGTTTTTCTTCCAGCAATATGTACATTTAATTCCTATAAATTATCTGCTTAAAACTTATAGTTCCATAGCCACACTACTGCCAACAAATCTCTTCCCTGAACTTCAACCACCAGTGACAGGGTTTTCTTAAAGAAAGGTTCATTCATTCTTTTTCATTCATTCAATAAGTAAACTACGCCTACCTTAAGGCATTCTGCAGAAGGTAACAAAGGATACACTAAAGAAATGGAATTTATAATCTAGTAGGAAAGATAATACATATATAGATAGATAACTTAGGATAAAGGCCCGTTTTCTAGCTTTATATTCTATGAGCATATAAGGGAAGAGTATTTTTACCTGGAGAATTAGAAAAGACTATAAAAAACCTTGTAATTTAAAGAATGGTTACAATTTAAATGGTTTTTAATGGAATTGCAGATATATATAAAAAAGAATTACACGTAACAGCATATTGAAAAAGCTTACAAGAGAGGGTTGCTAAAAAACAGAATCAACACCAGAAATTATCTAACTCTATACTTTCTACATAAAAAAAAAAAAAAAAAAAAAAGAAACAAATCTCTATCCATTATACACACTATGGGTTGGGTTATCCGCTCCTTGCAACTGAATACATTCCTAACCAATACACTGCCCTAAAGGCTTCTGTGTGAGAACCCACGACCCCTCTCCAACAAACAAACAACAAAAAGAAAACCTCTCTGCAGAGACACCAAGGAACTGACCACAGCAAAGTATAACAGTATGGCAGTGAAGACAATAGCAATCAGACAAAAAAAAAAAAGGCTATGCAGAGAGAAGAAAACACTGAAGCTACTGTGCAAACCAAGAAGGTGCACTGGAATATTTGGAGATAGGAGGAACATATTGAAAGGGGTACCAAACTTGATAAAGACAAGGTCTACAATGGAGGACATGGAAGAAAGCATCTGTCTGAGATGGAGTCTTACAACATTAGGATGATACAGAGAAGTCGTCTGAGGACAGAAATGGAAAGGGCAAATGAAAGGAGCAAGCAGGTTGAGATTCACAGTTCTCCTGAAATTCAACAGACTGCTTATACGGTGTCACCTGGCCCTTGTCATATCAACCTGCCAAGAGTGGGGCTTGGGGAAACAACACAAAAAAATTATGATACTGCAGCTACTGTTACTGCTATGAGTTTAAACTGTTCTTGACTCTAACTAACCCAGGAGACTAGTGTCTTTTGCCAGGATACACAAGCTAACATGTTAGCCAGCAAGCGGGGTATGATCTCAAAGCCATCAGTTTTTGACAGAGGTGAGGATTCGAAAGGCATAGAGGGAACATAAATCATAGATAACCCAAGAAGTTTAGACTTCTCATTCCATAGCTTGGAATGATATTACAATGCTACAAAATTCCTTGGGATAAGAGCAAAATGATCAAAATTCTTTTTGGAAAGAACCTGAGTACAGCAATGCAGAGAACAGGAACAGGAATAAAAGTGAAAAGACTAGTTAAGTGACTAGTTAAATGACATAGGCAATTTTTATCCCATGAAAAATGATATCTCCTAAGTGGAAACAGAGTCAGTGAAAGAAATCTGGTATGCGACACCAAAGTGTTAAGAAATTAGTCTTCATTAGAAAAAAAATCTCTCTTAGGACTTTCAAAAACCTTCTCAAATCACTAGACAATATCTTGTTTAATGACAACATACCAGCAAAATTTAAAAGTAAAATCAGACTCAAAGCATTGATGTCCACTATCAACATAACTGTTAACATCATTCTGAAAGTGCTAGTTGATAAAATTACGTAAGAAGAATAGACAATTTTAACATCAGAAAGGAGGCAAAATTACCATCATTTTAGAGGAAATGATATTGTAAAAAACAAAAACATTTTAGAATTATGAGTTAAGATCTTTTTTCAGTAAATAAGCAAAAAATTTCCCAAAGTAACATCAATAGCCAGTTACAAAATTTTTAGTAACAACCATAAATAAACTAAAAAACAGTATGTGTATGAAGAAAGCTGTAAGACTTTACTGAGGAATACAAATTAAAACCTACACTGAAATTAAGAAAAACCTAGTATTGGGAAGGTGTCAATAGTCTCTTAACTCATAAATTAAAATTCCAATCAAAATCATGAAGAAATTTATTTGGAAAGTAGGGGTGCATCATCCAGAAGAAAAAATACGTGTCAAAAAATTTACTTTTTTAAAAAAGAGGTATGAAACCAAACACTCTAGTTAACGTTAAAATGTATAAAACTACAATAATAAAAATACCTCATAGAGGTCCTAGAACAGAAATAATAAAATAGCACAAAAGGCATTTTAAATCAAGGTGTTCCTTAAAAAAGGGGGGAGGTCATTTAATGAATAGTAGGAGAAGCAAAAGTATGAAATCTGGAAAAGAATAAAGAATGGTCTCATCTAGTCTTCCATTCTGTGAAAGAAATCACCACTCATTCTCCAGCACATGGACTCAAAAATCTCTCACCATAGGCTCCAACATCATTAGCTTAAAGTTGGAATTCTTAAATTATCATAGATTAATATAAACAGAAAGCAAAAGTTGAGGCAGGTAGCCATGAACTCCCAGAGCACTGGGATGCTATTTTATTTATCTTTGTTTTCATTTTCTGAGACCCAGCCCCACAACACTAACTTTCCCTCCTCTTGTCCCCTCAACAAATCTAGACTCCCTTACCAGCACATTAAAAGAAAAAAGAAAGGAAAAAACAAAATACTCAGTAAATGTTTCATAAAAGGATGAATGAGTTACCAAGATGAGACAAATCATCTTGGAGATAAACTGGGAGGTGAACTGTGATACCCGAAGTTAAAATTCTGAATGCTCTTTCCCATAGCAACACTATTATCCACTGAACTGGGAACCTATTCATCACACATAGTATTCCTATGGATACAGTATGTATCTAACATTCCAGGCAGCTTTTAGTATAGGGATTACTTGATGAATCACAACTTCCGTCCAAAATTCTGCTAGCAACCAATACAGTTCTTTTAATGACAAGCAACCTACAAATTCTTAAGCAATCTTTTCTAACTGGAATAAATACATCTGGAGGAAGAAGTTGGTGGAAATCATGAGAAATAAGAGAATTCCTGTATCTGCTATACTTAAAGAGCAGAAGTGGATTCTCCTCATTCCTTTCTTTAGCTGCACAATAATTTTATTAAGTAGACATACCTACCATATTTTAATCAGAGCTTTATTGATGAACATAATACAGCTCATATTGGAGGCTAGAGTTTCAACATAAGAATTTGAGAGAGACAAAACTTAGTCCATTAATAACATAATAGCTGATCTTATTGGAACCAAAAATAAAACACTTGGAACCTGGAATGCAAAACATGGTTTCTGTTACAGCAAACTACTGTTGAGGTAACAGTCTTCAATACAAAGTCATTTTTACATTAGGATCAACAACTCAAAAAAACCCATACCAGCTCTTCATATGAGACTAAAGTTAATTACTATAATAGAAATTTTTTTTTAAATTGTTTAAGGCTTAAGACAGTGTCCTTATTTTTGGTTCCTGCTACATTCTTACATACCAATCAATTCATATTTTGTATTACAAAGGCAACTCTTGCTTTCAGGTAATTTTTGCACACTATTTTCTATACTATGTGACAAGAACCACTGTTTATCTTTGACTCACTAGTGCCTTCAATGTGTGTGGCATTTAGTAGCTACTTAAATATCAGAGGGAGGAAAGAAAAGAAGAAGGAAACTAAGTTAGATACTTATCAATTTATATAGTACCCTTAACTTTTATTTGCTTTAGTTTGGCACCCTGCCGATTATATGAATCAAAATACTTAATATTCAAAGAAGTAATGAAAATACACATAACAAATTTAAGGTACAACACAAACTTCTTATCACAGAGTATAAAAGTAGAAACCAAGAAAACCTTCAACGTCCAGGTATCCCCTGCCGTGAATGAGCATTTAAATGCTAATTGAAAGTACAAAGACAGCACTTGAAAGACATTTCAAAGCCTATATAAAATTGCCAAAATGTCCACTAGTAGAGTTTTTGAAACTAGCTAATTCTGATGTTTCAACAAGAAATTTTTACAAAAATTCCTCCCCCACCAAAAGCACAGCATTTACATACAAAACCTACTCTAAATCCTAGATAATCAGAAATCATCCACTGAACAGTCAGCTCATTTGGAGTTTATTCACATTCGTGGCTCTAATCTACAAAGGGAAAAGTAAAAGCAGAGTAAGCTAGAGCTATGTGAAAAGAGATACTCAAACATTTACCTGCTATATTTCAGCTGTCAAGGAATACCAAAATTTTACATAGCAAAAATAAAACAATATGTAAATGTTTGGTTAGAATGTTAATATAAAAAATATTTCACTGACATTTGACTAAATAATTACTACGTGAACAAACATGAATTTTGGTCTACTATGTGTCATGCTGCTCTATAAATTCACACAAGTTAGTATGAAGCAAATGGTACGACAATAACACTATTGATTCAGATGTGTCAAATCAAACATTAACATACAACAGTTGTTTAGAAGGGAAAACATTCCTTCAGTATAAATGTGCTTATTATGTGGTTCCTCTTCTTTGTAACTGAAATTTTAGATTTGTTTAAATTGCCAAAACCCGTTATCATTGGGTTTTGCTTTACTTTAAAGGACCCAGAGTTCTTGATTTCATCTCATAAGGACAGACCAAAACTTTTATAAGAAAGAGAGAAAACAAAATGTCTACATAAAACAAGTTAATTTTGTCTCAGTTTTGACATTTACTGAAAAATGCTCTTGTGCAGCGTAAGCCTTTTAAAGAATGATAATCATATGCCTTTCTCATTACATAGTTTGGATCAAATTATATGCCTA